CGGAACCACTGCTGGGCCACCTCACCCCTCCAGCCAGCTCCAACTGCCATTCAGGTTTTCGCGCGCACGTCGGGCTGGTAGGCCTGGTGCGGCCGCCGCACGCCAGGCACTCGATCCCGCCCCCGCGGCCGCTGCACGCCCCTTTGGGGGGCCCTGCCGACCGTCGGACCGGCCAGCGCGCCTCGGCCTTGGCCCCCCTTTCCGGGTGGTTGCTGGAGAGTGCCCCTGGCCCAAGGCGCCCCCAGGATTTCCAGGGAGGCCCCCACGCCCTCCAGAGCACCCCTCACGAGGTCTAGAGGGCCCCGTGGCCTCCAACATGGCGCGAAAAGCTGGGGGCACTCTGGGGCACCTTCGGCAACCACCGACCTGTTCCTCTCCCCAGACATTGCTCGCGTCGTGCAAAAAAACACGACGGGAGGCTTTTTTTCCGGTCCCTGGGGGCCCTCGCCAGGTCCCAGGACCATCAAACAGCGACTCGCGATGAAGAGCCAGACCCAGGGAAAGGGTCGGGACTTCCAGTGGCCGTGCTGAAGATAATAGGACATCGCATGTCTGATCCCTCCCTGATCCCTCCTCTTCCCCCCTTCAAGCAGTGGCGAAACGTCCTGGCTTGGCTACAGGCCTACCAAATAATGTTCCAATAACCCTTTGTGACTTGTGCGAATTATGCTCTTAGAACTTTTCTGGCTGAGACCGTCTTGTTTTTAAGACATCGGATTTACGCTCTAAGATTTGGTTTTTGTCTTAGGACATTCTGTGGTTCGAAGGATTTTTTATGGTAGGCTTTAGGAATGCTGGGACGATCGGTTCCTGTTCAACCCCTCCCCTTTCCCAGCTCTATTCTCCTTTCTCCACCCTCCTGCCCTGGAGACGATGGGCGCACGATTTTTTTCAACAGGCGATGGCGATGGTACCTATGTGTATGAGATATCGGAAAGAGCGTGTTCTACCGCTGCTGGCGGGAAACCGGGGGGGGTCACTACCGGTTCGAACCCCTCCCCCCCCCCCTCCGGAAAACCGGGGGGGGTCACTACCGGTTCGAACCCCTCCCCTCCCCCCCCCCCAGCTCATCATGAAAGGGGGGGGGTCACTACCGGTTCGAACCCCTCCCCCCCCCCCCCGCGAAAACCGAGTGGGGGTGCGGACAGTGGTGGGGACGGTGTTGGTGGGGACAGTGTGAGGGGACAGCGGGACAGTGGTGGGGACAGTGGGGGGACAGTGGGACAGCGGTGGGGACGGTAGTGGTGGGGACAGTGGTGGGGACAATGGTGGGAACAGGGGGGGACAGTGGACAGTGGTGGGAACGGTGGTGGTGGGGACAGTGGTGTGGGGAAAGTGGGAATGAGGTGGAAACACTGGGACAGTGGAGGGTACAATGGTGGTGGGGACACTGGTAAAGGCGTCGGCGAGGACGGCGGTGGGACAATGGGACAGAGGTACAGTGGGGACAGTGGTGGGGACAGTGGGGACAGTGGTGGGAACAGTGGGACAGCTCAGTGGGACAGCGGAGGAGTCAGTGGGACAGTGGGGACAGTGGGGATAGGCAGTGGTGGGGGGCACTGGTGGGACAATAGGGACGGTGGTGGAACCAGTGGGGACAGTGGTGGTGAGGACAGTGGTGCTGGGAACAACAGTGGGGGATGTGATGCGAGCGGTGGTAGGGACCGGGAGTCGTTTGCTGGCGGTGCGTGGGGGGGGGGTCGAACCGGCAGTGACCCCCCTCCGGTTTTCGAGGGGGGGGGGGGTTCCAACCGGTAGTGACCCCTCCCGGTTTTCCGGATCCGGAGGGGGGTGGGGGGGGGAGGAGGGTTCGAACCGGTAGTGACCCCCCCCCGGTTTTCGAGGGGGAGGGGGGGGGGGGGAGGGGTTAGGGGAGGGGGGGGGGGGGGGGTTTTGCCGGGAGGGAGGGGGGGGGGCGGGGAGGGGTTCCAGCAGGGGGGGGGGGGGATTTTCGGGGGGGGGGAGACCCCCGGGTTCTGCAGGAAAAGGTTGGCAATTTTCCACAGTAAAGCGGCGGTGGATCACGCTCTCTCAGATATCGCAGGAAAAGGTTGGCAATTTTCCACAGTAAAGCGGCGGTGGATCACGCTCTCTCAGATATCGTGAGCCCCTGGGCTCTTGAGGAAACCCACTTGGAGCTCGAGCGCGGCGGCGGCGACGACGACGGCGACGGCGACGGCGACGACGGCGACGACGACGACGGCGAAGGGGACGACAACGACGACAAAAACCCGTCAGCGACCGACGACAACGGCGACGACGACGGCGGTGATGACGACGATGGCGGCGACGACGACGACGGACGACGACGAAGACGATGGTGTCGGCGGCGACGACAACGACGGCCACGACGACGGACGACGACGACCGCGGCGACGACGACGACGGCGACCGCGGCTGTGACGATCATGACGACGACGGACAACGACGACGACGATGATGACGACGACGACGACGTGCGACGACGACGACGACGGTTCGGCGATGTCGACGACGACGA